CAACACAAAAAATATCGGACTCTGTCAAGTTGTAGCCCCGGATCTGGGCTACATTTTAAACCCAACCCGAACTCTCTAGCATTTGAAATGGCAGAGAAATTTGGGAAACGGCGAAGCCCACTTTTGACCCTTAATTAAATGTTTGTTCATTTCAGCCTCTCACGTTTGTCCGTGGCTGTGTGCTCTTTCCTGGTTTTAGCAGCGTGATCCTTTCATGCGTTCGTATCTGTTGCTATTTTTGTGTTGCACAAAAAAGAGATCACAGCAGAGATTTGTTATGATTGGAGCTAGACTGTTCATCCATCGAGGAGCTCTCTTATACTTTTTATAAAAATATCACCTTAACACAACGGTTCACTACTAATGATTATAACTGATCTGGCGATTTTTCTCATACATGATCTCTAAATGTCATATCCGCAACTCCTGTTAGTAGAAAAAGAAATTCTAGTAGTAAATTAGCTATCATTAATTCTATGTAAGCCGCCGGATATTCAGAAACGTAATATCCCTTTCAAGCTTCCTGGTTGTACGTGCACAAAAATCGTCAACTTAAACCAAACAAAGAGACGGTCTTTGCTCGTGCTGCTGTTATGTTACAACAATGTTAAAAGAGAGAAAAAGAGAATGACAACAACTCATCCAACTAAGTTCGACAGTCAGATTACTCAAGAGAGAGTACAGATATTACTTTCTCTGAGTGGGTGCCCTCTGCATTGTTATCGTTACGATATCCCTATTTTCTTGTTAGTGAATGTCCGTTCATATATGAGTCTACCATTCCTTTTCTCTGAGAAAGAGTAAGCATTCTTCTTTGTGAAAGCCTTGTAGAAGTCTTGTACGAAAGCCCTGCATTGAGACTTTATAGTATAGCCACACTTTGTACGAAAGCCAGTTAAAAATGTGGATACGAAAGACGCTTATAATACCGATATGAAAGCTCTATGAAGAGAATCTTAGCATGGACCTTATAATATTCGTGTAGAACAAACAGGTACAGTAATGCTTGTATAGCTAATTACTATGAATTTTTATTTGTTTTTCTATTTCTATATTTATTTTAGGCACACAAGGATCCATGGAAAGATATGGTCAGTTATTAGAAAAAGCAATGCACGAAGAAGTTCCTTCTAATTGTGAAGATTGGCGAGCAAAACAAGAAAAACGAAATCAATCAAAATCTTTCACAACACCATCCACAACAAGTTCGAAATCATCAAGCAAACAATATCGAGAAAGTAAATAAATGACACTACTGAAATGGTGTATAGTTATTGTCTATTTCTGACTTTAGCTCCTGCATCGAAAGAATTTTCATTAAAAAAAATTCCCTTTGGTTAGTAATTTTCTAAAAATCGTATGACTTTTATTAACTTTTTTCTATAAACAGGTCAAAACACCACTGGCTACTAATGAATCACTTCAAATATCGCCCTCGTTGTTACCACCTGAACCTCATTTACTTGATGATAACCTAAACTCATATACACGTACTCAAGGTAATAACTCTGTTTAGCAAAAAGAAATATCAATTGCCAAACGTTTACGTTTTACAACCGATCATGATGACGGAAGAAATGAAGATCAACAAATGGATTTACAACAAATATTAAATTATATCAAACAAGTTAATGCAAATGTGCTGCAATTGCAGAAGCAACAACAGCAGATAACAGTCATTTTAGAGCGTCAAGAGAAATTTTTAAACATGTTGTGTACAAATCAAAAAAAAATAGCTAAGAGTTTAACCCGACATAAGGTAAGAGAAGCTATTGTTAACGTATTCTCGCTCATCAAGACCCATTTTATACTCTAGATTCCAGTCTTTCTTGAAAATGATGATGAAAATACAGATGTCAAGGATGATGATTTCACTGATCCTGTATCAGTAAGTAGCTACATTTCTAACCATCTATTCACATATATGATGAGTACTAATTCCTGTTTCTTTACTTGCTTTTTTCCATTTAAGACATATACCAGAAGCGACGGTGTTGTCGTTCAATTATTAAAAACATATGGTACAAAAGAAAATACAGTTAAATATGCTTTAAAATTAATGGATTCACTATTTGTTGATAAGCAAGATTTACAGAATGTTGATGTTAAAAAAATTGATGAAGATCCAAGAATTAAAGCAATATATGGTACGTAAGCAACAACAGTTTTTAAACAATGTTATATCGATTTTCATGTTTTTTTGTTTGTTCCAGGTGCCATTAGGCAAAAATTCAATTATTCAGTAATGGAA